GCCGGGGAGATGATTTGGTGGCTGGTTTCATGGTGTTATTCCCCCCCCATAAGATTTCTGCCTCCAGTTTGGTGATTAGGCTGTGACCGTGTCACCGGACGGAGCTACATGTAACCATTTCCTGTCCTAGTCTTCATCAGCTTCCGTATCGTGCCGGAGAACACCACGGTCTACCAGGGGAACACGGCCATCCTGCACTGCCAGGCCACCGCGGACCCCACGCCGCACATTCAGTGGAAAGGACGGGTAGGATTGTTAGACGGCACCAAACCACATCAGAGGTGAGTCCTGAGGAGAGCGCCGATCGTTCTTCATCTCCACATCACTCCTGAGGGTCTCTCTGCTGGTCTCCCGCAGAACGTTCCGTCTTCTGCCAACATTGTGACCATCTTCTTTTCTCTGTCTCCGCGCAGAATCCAGGTCATGCCGAACGGCTCTCTTGTAGTTTATCATGTGTCCAACGAGGACTCCGGGCAGTACACCTGTATTGCCGGCAACGCCTGTAACATCATGCACCGCGATACCTTCCTCTATGTCGTAGGTGAGTTTGATTGTTGGGTGCATACTGCAGGGGGGGGTCACACTGTGGATGGGTTGCTTGTAGATTGTATGCTGTATGTAGCCTCATGAATTGTCTCTCTTGTCTCTTCTAGAAAAGCCGGTGGAGTCTCAGGATCAGATCTCCAACACCCCGTATAAGATGATCCAGACAATCGGCCTGTCGGTGGGCGCCGCCGTGTTGTACATTATTATTGTCCTGGGGCTCATGTTCTACTGCAAGAAACGCCGCAAAGCCAAGAGACTGGGCAAGAAGGACGGAGACGAGCCGGAAATGGAGTGTCTGAATGGTGAGAGATGCTCCATGGTTGCAGAGTCATCACAAGGATGAGAACAGAGGAGTTACTTCATTCTGGTTTCTTGTCTCCAGGTGGCGCCACACTACACAACGGACAGACCACCGCCGAGATCCAGGAGGAGGTGCCGCTCACCACATTGGCAAACAAGAGACTGAGCTCCGGAGAAAGAATCAACTTCCCCCGATCCAACCTCCATCCCATCACTACACTAGGTACTTCCCCGATCCGACCTCCATCCCATCACTACACTAGGTACTTCCCCGATCCGACCTCCATCCTATCATCATGCTGGGTACTTGACTCCCCGCAAACTCCATCAAATTACCGAGCTAGATACTCCCCCTGATCCATCCCATTACCAAGCTAGGCAGTACCCTCATCCACCCTCTATCCCATCGCCACATAAGGTGCTTGCCTGATCTGACCTCCATCCTATCACCATTCTTTACTACCCACGCGACCTCTGCCCCATCACCATGTTGGGTACTTGCCGGGTCTGACTTCATACCTCCACTGTGCTATCTGCTCTCCCCCCCTGGAGTCAGCTGATCCCCCGGTCACCTCCGCTGTGCATTCTGGGTCTGGTTGACTGATTTGCTTGTTTTCTTTCCTGCAGGCCGCGGTGAGTTTGGTGAAGTGTTCCTGGCGAAGGCTCAGGGCATTGATGCTGGCGGGAAAGATGCCGTGGTCCTGGTAAAAACTTTGCAGACTCGTGATGAACAGCTACAGATGGACTTCAGACGGGAAATGGACATGTTTGCAAAACTCAACCACGCCAACGTGGTGCGATTGCTTGGCCAGTGCCGCGAGGTGGAGCCACATTACATGATTCTGGAATATGTGGACTTGGTGAGTGTGGACAAGCAGTTCCCTCCTCTGCTAGCCTTTAAATCGGGGTGTCTGTTCCATACCTTGGCCGGCCATGGTGGCGGCGAGGTCCCGCTGCTCACATACATTATCTGTCCTGTGTTCACCGGCCACGTCCTTCTCCACTCTTACAGTTTCCTGTATTTCTTGTTCCTTGCAGGGAGATCTCAAACAGTTTCTACGAATCTCAAAGAGCAAAGATGAAAAGTCGAAGGGGCTGAGCACCCGGCACAAGGTGAGGCGACTGCGGCTTATTCATGCAGAAAGAGGAGCTGCGATGCAGACTGGGGGAGGGGTGTAGAATCGCTGCTCAGAATAAGACCCATTACCACTGGGCACCAGCGACTGGCCGGACATCCTGCTCCTCATACTGTGGACGGGAATCCTCCACACAGAGTGGTCTTGGCCCTCTGCCAGTCATCCATCATGCTTGGTCATGGAGAGCTCAAGCTCTGAGAAGGGCGAGCAGAGGCCGCAGGACCCTTTATATGGCATTGGGGGGGCAGGCAGTGCAGCTGGTCATGGGACTGGCAAGGAAGGCTTGTGCTCCTGGACCCCATATCATTATCGGTATCTCTTCCTTCAGGTGTCGCTGTGCTCGCAGATAGCCCTGGGCATGGAGCATCTATCCAACAATCGCTTTGTGCACAAGGACTTGGCTGCTCGGAATTGTCTGGTCAGCGCCCAGCGGGTGGTGAAAGTCTCTGCTCTGGGGCTGAAC